CTCTCAATACATTATTCAAGAAGGATCGAGAGTTATCAATTCTCGCAATGATTGAGAACATTCCTAACAAGTTGCAGCACTGGTTTCACGATGATGTGCGGAATCATAGAGTTGCATGAGTGTGCTAGCACTTGCTCAAGATGATAAAATCTTCAAGGCTGCAGAGGTTGCGAAGAAGTTAAATGTGGAACCACATGATGAGTTGCGCTTTTCCGTGAAACGTGCACGTAATATCGCATACATGGTGAACTTGATTGATAATACCTACAATTGTAATCGATTTTAGTTAGAGAGTTTTCCATGTGAGCATGCAGTTGCAATGACTATGTATAGAGGCTTTGCAGCAAGAACCTTATGCTCTCCTTATTATACGACTGATTATTGGACAGCAGCGTATTCCGAGACTATATTTCCTCTACCGAATGAAGTTGGGTGGGAAGTTCTCTATCATATTCTCCCACTTAATAGTTTGTTGCCACCCAAAGTTGAACCACGTGGTTTGGACGTTGACGTATATCTAGAATACCATATACCGAAAGTTTTCTCGTCCACATAGTTGCGAAAGGTGCAGAGCAACAGACCATACTCGCCAATTTTGTACAAGTCAGATTTCCCTAAATGACAATTAGAAGGATGCGTAACGATATCACTGCTAAATGAACAATATTTACAATATATCGCCTCGGAGCACTACGACCTCATCCTAAAATTCTGCTATATTACCTCATAGCACTATAACATCATGTCATAAATTTCATACCTCACCGCTCAACTCTTGTCTCAACGCTCTTACCTCTTCTTGTAGCGTGGCCACCTCCTCTCTCAACTCTTGTCGTAATGTGCCCACTTTCTCCGCCATAAATTCAGTTAGGTGAACATACATATTATTGAAATAATAACCCTATCTGTGTATAGGAGATCCACGGGAGAGGTGTCTAGTTGGAGGAGAATGAGATCTCATCGGCGAAGGTGATTCCTTGGGCGGAGGTGATCCCATTGACGGAGGTGATCCTTGTTCAACTAGATTGTGCTCCTATACAAATAACAACATTAAAATTATTAACTTAATTAAAATAGGCTAACTCGTACAAAACAGTAATCAATAAATTATATTCAATTCACATACTCAATCTCGGTCCACGATAGAATCGGACATAAGGTCGTTTTGAGTATGCAGAATGACTAATTCACGTACGAAACATCGACCCTCCTCCACCATCGACGATGTTAACTCAGTTAGGATTTTAAGTTGACATATTGACATTTCAACTTGTTAATGATCTTGTGATGAGATTTTGAAACGACATACAATGTAAATCGCAAATGTATAATACTCAACTAAGGGTCGTTGATGAGAGCTGATAATTGTCTGTCGATGGACATTTGTCTGCTTGGGATGTTCGCTATGCATCCGAGGGTAGTGTGCTTCCCATTGCTTCGTAAATTGGGTACCCAAGAAGGGGACAGTCTCGCATGCCCATATCTGCAACACATATAATTATTATATATAAATTTAGTATAAAAAATATTTTAACGTTAATTATGTCAAACATTTACTTGCCCCGCCAAGGACAATCCATAAGTATCTTACTTACGAATGAACTCCTTAGGTTTTGAGTGTGATCTGATGAAAATGTGTATGGTGTCCTCAAAACATCTCCGACCCCACGGATATTTGTTGAAGGCATCGATGTCGTTAACAACTTCCAAATGGAAAAGGTCGATCGTAGACTTTTTATGATGACACCTCATCACGCTCTCAAGAATATAACCAGTCTTAACTTCAATCTGTCTAACATCGATCGCACTCCGCGATTGCGCCAATCAATGTGGTAGAAGCACCATCCTCTGTCCCTGAAAATAAGCGTCGTACAACCTAGTGCTTCTTTGAGTACCATCAGTAGCTGCTTCGTCACCCGTAATCTTCAGTCCAGTCATTAGGACAAATATGGAAAAAGTAGCGACCTTGCCCCCGATGTCGAAGTGGAGGGCATCCAGCGACTAACCTAAGCAGCCGACATAGTAATTCATCAATGATATGCTCAGAGTACTACACCTCTCTCAACTGATACATGGGCCACAAGAATGATTGACGTAGGATATCTGTGTGCTGACAGCAACTCCAATACAATAGTGAAACTATCAAAGTTACTACTTCAAGTATATTTTCCCGTAATCTATCTCAATTCCGCATCTAGATGGTACTCCATCTTATAAAAATTTCAATATTAGAACCGTTCAACAAAATTTAATGGAATAAAGCTTAAT